TGTGACTCACTGGCTAGTAGATTAGAGAGTGCCAGGAAACATTCGTGGGTACTGGAGCTCAATTGTCTATACTGTTAAATTATTAGAATGGTTCCTGGCAAGGTTTTGAGTTATGCCAACCAGCCTTTCCCCAGACAGCTCCGAGGCACAGCTAAGCATGGACCAAAGACCATTCCCAATAAGCAGTTTACATGCGGTCACCTTTTTTGGGAGGCTGAGAATTTAATATTATGGACATAGGCCACTCTGTGCCTGTTGGTCTCGGTGCCAAAGGAACATTTCCTGTCCCATTTAATTTCCTAGCACAGACATAGCCGCTGTGTTACAGTCTGATCCCTGCTTTGTTCCTGTAGCTGTGCAACTGAACATTGGTCTGTACTTAAAGTCTGTGGCAAACCGAAATGTCGTCTTTTGTGTCTATGTTACTCAACCCCATCCCTAAACCTCTGTTTGTCTTTGTCTTTTTTGAACTGTATGCTATTCAGACAGCAACTATATTTGGAAAGGGCTGTGTATTGTGCAGATCTATTTAAATTAAGCAGTTATCCAAAAGTGAAAATCTGCTCAGTAAAGTAAATTGAAATTAAATGAGACTGACACAATGCCCACATCTTGTGTTCACATTGCTAGTGAGCGTATACTTAATGCTAACTTGATTTTTCATCAGGAACCATGAAGTGCAGGATTGAAACTCCTGGGGCTAGATGGTCCCAGACAGCAACATCTGTCAGGTATAATAAGGCAGAAAGCTTTATTTCAAAATAAAGTTCTCTTTCTTCTTTTGACTCTAAATGCAGCTCTCCCCTTGCTACTCACTGAGCACATTTCCTTCTTCAGGGGGTCAGACACAGCCCTGGTAGGCTTTTGCAGATGTTCTTTTCCTTTATAATGCTTCTCAGATAAACATTTCATGTATTTTCATTCTGAAGTGCTGCCTAAATCTATTGACATTTGAATTGATAGAAGCAGTTATCTGCAGCTACTGATACCATTCTTATCTGATATCATCCCATATGATCTGGGTAGTGGAAACTCAAAATGAGCACTGGAAAAGGAGCATAGTTGCTCCTTTAGGTATGTACTTCCAGTGTACAAACTTTTCTCAGTCTTTTAATATGTAGCTTGATCTATGAAATACAGATGTCACAGGGTATCCTCAGGACAGACAGAGTGGGCTGAGAAGCTGAAGAGGGAAAAGGAGCTCATTTGCCCCAGAGCATTTGGAGGCAATTGGAAGAAGAAGGGACAGTGTGTGAAATTCAGGGGAGTTTGAGGCTGCAAAGAACAAACGAGGAACATGAGGGAAGGCAGAGCATATGGGATGCAGCGGGGCAGCAGGCTGTGTCCACCCGGGCGTTTGCAAATGAGGAGCAGGGTTTTAGGCACGTTTAGTGACACTGTCGGGGGGCCACTGTCTTATGGCAGAAAGGCAGTGGTGGGGAGAGGAGCCAGAACATTGAGGGACAGCTGGGAGGAACCTGACTGGTGCGAGAGAGGAGCTAAAGAGGCCAGGCTGGGTGGGGAGAAGCAAGGAGGACGCAAAGGAGGAAAGTTTATTAAATGAGAGGTCTAAAATGTGACATGGTCACCGAAGCCTACAACCTCCAATGTATTTAAGAGTCTTGTGCTGAATTTGGGATCGCCGTCAGCATGTGAGCATGAATCCCCTTTCCTGCAGAGCAATCACCATGTGCCACATTCCTGCAAAACTGAGGTATGCGTAGAGGCAGAATTTAAGTGAAATGTACTGATGCAGGTACTTGCTTTTTTCATCCTAAAAATGGGACTTTATCAAGCAGCTCTTTATCAAGTGCTCTATCTCTCAGGGAGATCCTGTCTCACTGGTGGTGTGGCTTACCTAAGCAAAGCATTTTTTCATTCTAAGTCAGAACCCTGCTAAAGAGGAAGCACGTTGTTCAGCCTCACCATATCCTGTGTTCAGAATAATTTTCATTTCTACTTATCTGCAAGTCTTAATGGAATGTCCACAAATATTTTCTTGGTTTCTATGGTAAGAAGGAGTGTGAAACTCTGTGTCAAAACCCCTGCATCATCTGCATCATCCTGTGCTTTTCAGGAGAAGACCCTGACCACTAGAGGAGTCATCTGTGGCATTATTTGTGCACAAACTCACATTTGGTACATTCTGATCCCTTTCAGGTTCACATTTTGAAACACAGACTTGTGTATTACAAACCGTAAAGGTTACTTGGTCACTTTTATAATTACACAGTAACGATAGAGTATATCAAAACAGCTCAATAGAGATTACTTCCTCTCTGACTATAAAGCAATCAGGCATTTGCTGGAATTTAACTGTAAGACTTTGGAAATAATTTTTTTTTAAGGTTTACATTTCCAAATTACTCAGAAGCAAAATCTCCTAGTCCCCTGTGTACGCATGCATGGAGCGGAACAGGGTGCAAATGCTTGGGGAACCAAGCCACTAAGTGGTCACATGGGAGAAGCAGCTAACACGCTGCACGCTTCCGCAGCCTTCTGAAAACAGCGCTGTTCCCCCTGAGCAAGCACCCAGGGACGGGCCTCAAGCTGTGACGCTTCTCTCAGTAAAGGAGCAGCTGTCCTGTGCCTCATTTCCCTGGAAAGGGGACTTCAGTTTGGCGCATATATTGTCAGAAATATTCAAACTGTCTCACAACCATGCATCCCCCAACCCTTTGCCTGTGAGAGTGCTGAGCCTTAATATGGCAGGGATGGTGGGACTGGGGAAAATAAAGCACCCTTTCACGCTGTGGGAGAAGAGCCATGCGGATCTCAAACCAGGAATTGTGAGGTTTGGTGGTATTCCTGCAGATCAGAGATTGCAGAGCTCTTGCTCCTGACAGTGCACCCAGCCATGGACAAACAATAATGGGTCAAAAATGTTTTATCTTAATTTTCAAATCAATGTTTCTTCAGTAATTTTTTCCACGAATGTACTGAGAAAATAAAAGTGCAGTTCAGTGTGAGGTGTATCTGCCTCAGGAAAAATACTTACATCTTTTAGGAGGAATCTGTCAGACTCTGATGAGGTTGCTCTGCTAAAAATCCCTGACCTCCAGTGGCATTTGTCTTCTTTTCCTGGAGTCAATCTTTGAAGAAACTTTTCTGGTTTTTATAGAGACAGGTATTTTGGAAAAGCATCACTGGTATGGTACCAAATCAGGAACAAGACAAATGGAGTTAAATAAAGCCCAACTTCCACACAGGAATCTCTTTCTGCGGACAGGTAGCTGGAAGTCTAGCTTGCCAATGCAGTACTTTGCACTGCGTTATTGAACTGTTTCAAAGACAAATTTTATGAATAGAGATCAAAGTGTTTAAGAGGACTGTTAGCAAATATGACCACTTGTGCAAATATCCGTGAACCTCCCTTCAATAGCCATTCAGTAGTTCCAAAGGCTGTCAGGGCATGTAATGATTGTAATAAATGTTGTATTTGCTTTTGTTTCAGCTGGCTTTGACCAGCAAATTCAGCTGATTACTTCCATTGTTATTGTTGCTTAGAAGACAATTATATTGTAATCATTTAAAAAATCCACTCTTCATACACATTTCTTTGTACTGGTCTTGAAATCCAGAATTCACTACCCTAGGTAAAAAACATTTAAAAGTTATTTTCATTCTTATATTTGCACTTGTTTCTTTTCAATGATTTTGCTTTGTTTCATGCTTCTCCTAAATGCTGCATCTCCCACCTTTGTGTTTTTTGGAGAAACAAAACCAATAATTTTTGAGATCCTCCCTCCCCTAGATTAATAGTCAGAGGTTTAAATTATAGCATACACTAAGAAAATATATTGGTATTTATCTGATGATCATGTGTTGTTATGGCTGGGTTATAACTGTATTCATGAGCAGTATACTCCCGTCACTCTGAGATTATATTCTAGCAACATAATAGCTCACGCTGGACTCTGAAGAAGCTCCTTGTATTCTTCTGTAAATATACTGAGGATACGGTCAGCCTCAGCTGTGTTTGGTCTACTTGTGGGAAACAAAGGATAAATATAAACTGTCCCATCTCTGTTGTGAGGCCAATGTGCAGGACTCATCAAAGTACATCGATGGAGCAGTGCCAGTAAAATTGCCACTGAGTCTCCGTAACATTTTGCGACATGACTACCAGGACAAGAACAGCCTAAAAACAGATGCTTTACGTGGCATATGCCCCTGGGAAAGTGTGTATCATTTGGAAATAAACTGTGAGAGAAGTTAGGTCTGGTCTAACCAGCAGCACGTGGGCAGAGACGGTCACAAAACTGTAAAAGTCAGGAATCTGCCAAGGATCCCTGTGCTTAGAACTGAATGCCTTTGGTAAGGGACAGCTTTGAGGAGGGTTTGACTTAATCTATATCCAACTGATAAAAAAATAAGTTGTAATTTCTTCAGTTTCTTCTGAGAGAATTTTTGAGACTGGTCAGACGTGTTTACCCAGGTTGGCCCATACAACCATTTCTTTTACAAAAAATAATACATAAACTGTGAAAGGCTTGGGACAGTCATGGGCTACAGGCTTTGATTTATCCTGGGGGTAAACCCACAGTATTCCCTTGCTTATATCCTTCCTGTTTGCCTCTGGTGACTACATTTAAGTGGTCCACAAAAGTTGTTTAAGAAAAGGAGAAGTTGTTCCATAGACTAACGTTTGCTTTACAGAGAGTCCAAACCTCCACTGGAAAGTGTTTGGGGTCCGTAAGTTGCAAAAACTTCAGAGAGTTGTGGTAGTGTGCTGTGATGTGATACCGCACCAATTCTCTAGTCTGATTCTGTATTCTTCTTGTACCCTGAACTGCAGTGTTCTTGGCAAAAAGTGGTCTCGCTTCCCAACTCATCATCACTGCAGCTATCCATACTGATATTTTCTGTACAGTACCCTTTTCTATGTGAGATTTTATAATTTGGATTAAAATAAATGAGGGTTGTAATGCACAACACTTATGAGGTGGTAATTCTGTAGATAAGTGTGCTGTCTCTTCTGTTGCTTTTTGTCTTTACAGGTCGTTACTTTGTGGTATAGAGCTCCTGAAGTTTTGCTTCAGTCCAGCTACGCAACACCAGTTGATCTTTGGAGTGTCGGCTGCATATTTGCAGAAATGTTCCGTCGAAAGTAAGAAATACAGTTTTATTTTCTTCCTGGTTTTTATTTGAGATTTGAAACAATGTGCAGTAATGTCTGGTACAATGCACTGGTCACATTTATGCTGGAAAGGCCTGATAGGATTTTTTATTTGCAGCACAAAATGTAAGTATCCATCGTGAATTCATACTCATTACCATTTGGAGTCTTTGTTGGGAGTCTGCCTCAGCTCTTGATAAAGCCTGTATGAGCATTGTTATATTGCTCTTAAACCTGAGTCCAAATGCAGTTAAAAGTGGGCTAGAGAGACTCTTGACCAATTAGAGTAAAGCTGGATTCTAGAAAGAATTGAACCTGAGGAAGCCAGAGCATGGTGGTTGGCAGAGTCATCTTGCTCCAGAGTTTGTGCATTGTAGCATTGGTTGTTTGCTCATAGTCCCCTCTTGGCATATTTAAGATCTCGTGAGTTACTGTAAAGTTGATTTCTAGAGGTAGGAAACAGAGGTAGGATTTTTTATTTTAAGACTAAGCTATTTAGTATGAGTGTAGGGTAACAGAGGTGTTAAATATATTCCATAAAAACACAGATAAAAACATTTTGGGGGGGGCTGATTTGATTAAATTGGCTATCAAAACTGTCTTGCTACAAAATATTGTAGCTGGATGCAGATGAGTTGTGAATGCAAGAGAAACACTTGCCTTTCCCTATGGAAGGACACTAATACGTAGATTGTACCATGTAGGGTGTGGAGAGGATCAACCCCCAAGAACCTTAACGAGGTAAATCTATCTCAATATTAACACAATTACATGCATTTTGGATGAGTTTACTGAAAATAGTGCATGTTGTCATCACCTGGGTGATCTCCATGTAGAAAACGTATAGCATTTTGTAACAGTCACTCTGAAATCAACGAATATATGAAAGGAAAATGTGAAAGAAAATAACATGCTGGGTGGCCTAAAAATCAAAATCAGTGTGATTTACAAGGAGAAGTCATACTGCAAGGGCCTTGAGAAACAACTATTTCATTTGTTCTATGTGAAGTTCAAAATACTAATTGAAATCTTGCAAAATAACTTTGGGATTCTACTACTTATTAATGTTAGTATATGGAAAAATCATTTTTCTTGGGCTTCTTGCCTGGTCAAATGGCCTGGGTAGAATTATTATACTCCACCCTCTCTGTCTCTGACTCAGAAATGAGGCCAGAAAATGAGAGAAAAAAGAATGTGGATTTTAGGAGTATCGATTAAACCCTCCATTGAGAACTTTTAAAGATTTAGTCTTATCGAAAATACTGCCAGGTTCTCAATAGCATTAAATAGCAGAGTCAACATCTTCATGTGCAGTAAGAGTGATACAGGACAAACAACTAAACGTGGTACTTCATTACATACTCAAAACTCTCTTTTTTTTCTCATTTATTTTGCAGTATGCTGACAGTTAGGAAATATTGCCATATACAAGCACCACCAATTTATCTTTATTTTTTCTTTTATGATGTATGAGCCTCACTGACTCTCCAAACCCAACACAGTAAATTTAATTAGGGACAGTTAAATTTTTACTTGTTTACAAATGAAAGTATTATATTAATATTACAAAATCAGAGATTTTTTTAAATGGAAATGAGATCTGACTTGAAGCAGAGTTTGATAAAACCAGGACTTCTATTATTCTTGCCAAATGCAGGGTCAGTTTGACATTCTCAGTCCTGAATTTGGGAGACGGTCAAAAACTGTAGAAGTCAGGAATCTGCCAAGTCTGTATGTACTATGTTGTTTCATTGGAAACAATATGTCTTTCACATACTTCAGTATACAAGCATGATTTGGAAGACTGATGTCAAGGCTCATTGCCATAAAGCTACAGTGAACAGCACTGAACGCCATCTCCGTGGACCGTTGTATTGGGTTAATGTTGCAATACTCTCTGTATGATATATGTTGTCTTTCTGATTCTCCTGATGGATTGCAAAAGAAAACCCATGTTAACTGTGACCTTGGTAGCAATAAACTGTAAAATTTTGCAAACTTCATGGATTATTTCCAAAAGATTGAATAAATGCAACAGCTATTTTTGCAGGAAAATGGTAGTACCCTTGGGTAATCACTGATGTGCATTTCCACTGGTGGTGATGATAGGGTAAGAGCATGAGAATGCAGTTACAGCTTAGAAGTAGGTGTTGGTTTGACATTAAGCCAAACTTTTCTTTTTACTTTCCTACTGGCTACTTGTTGCCTTATTTCACTACTCTCTTTTGCTTTCTTTTTGAAATATTTTAAAGCTCTGACATTTTTAAAAACTGTACTGAGATTCCTCTGGGCTTTTTTATATCATGGAGACTTCACAGGAACAGGTTTCAAAATAAAACACTACAGAGCATCACAAAACATATCAGAATCCTGTTTACACCAAGAAGATGTACAAGGGTTTCAGTTTGCTAGAAGGTAGTTTTGGAGGCTGTTACAAACACAGTCAGGGTGCTGTAGGTTTGGACAAGTCTGGGATAGAGTTGAGTTCTGTATGAATGCTCCAGTCCCCGTGTTACAGATTGCTATGTCTCTAAGCAGGAGACACCTCATTTAATTTAAACCAAAATCCAAAACAGTTTAAGACAAATGCAAAGAAAGTATTTGTTTAAGAAATAGATCTGAAATACACAGAAGTGTATAAAAGAATTCATAGATACAAAAAATAAGATATCTCTGTCTAGATAGACCTAGCGTAAATTTGAGTATTTCTCTCATCTTGGCTGGTTCAGCTAAACAAATCACGCTTCTCAGGTCAGGACTCTGGTCCTCCTGTAATCTGAGGTTTGTATAAAATCATAGCTGTGTTTAAAACACGCACGTTTTAATTATGGTGCAGATTTGTAGGCTTCTACATACATGAGCGCCCAAAGGTTGTCTCCTGAAACCCCTTGCACAGATTCCCAAGGATCCTTCTCTACTTACAGGTCATCAATAGATTGCTCAGGTGTATGTGTATTTGTGCAGAAACTATCCTGCTTTGTGCATCTTTCTCTGTCCATGTGCGCTGCTGATGAGAGCACCCCCAAATAAGGCATTACTTGAAAATTTCCTTATACAGTGGTTTCAGTTTTTAACTTTCCTGTCCAGTTAAGTAGGTTGCAGTGACTTCTAGACACTTTTGGATGGACTGTCCTTATCTAACAAAAGTGTAAATGTAGTTGTCCCAGTGACTGTTTTCTTTGTGATTTAAAAGCTATGGTGCATTAATGATAATAACCAGTAAGGAAAATTGTAAGGCATGCTATGGCTTGCTACTATATCACAGAATCCTGCAGAGATACAGCTGGCCCAATGGCATGGGAGCATCCTTTGGCACAGCAAGAAGATTAGCGCTTTTTTTGTTTATGTTTACATAAAAATAAGTATTACTTATAAAAAGTTTTCACTCTGAGGCTGAGCATTTTCCTGGCCAGTAGGAAAGGGCCTTGTACCTCCTACTCTGTGAACAACTCATTAAAGAGAAAGGCAAACATGGGAGTAGCATCCACTTCTGTCTGGATACATGAAACCCTTCCAGCTGGTTCAAGCACTCTAGGCAGCTCCAAAGCAGGAAGCCATCGCCAGTGTTTTAGGGAGAAAGGGATTGTCTCTCTTCTTGTTTGGATTACGTAAAACTTAATCAAGGTGAATGAGTGTGAGAGGGGAAGATGACTATGTTCTGAACCTGATTGAAAAGATCTATAAAAGAAAGCAAGGGTCACCAGTCTTGGACTCTTTTCTGAGTAGACAGTCTTTAGAAAAAATGTCCGAATGTTTCGATGCTTAGCTCTTGGTGCATCTATACATGCCCAGTCTTTAAAAAAACCACAATCCTATATGATTTCAACCCTGCACAGACTAGGGTGTTAGTAGTTGTGTATGTGGGAATAATGATTCAGATACCTATATAATAATTCCAACTAGGTAAGTTTAACTATAATATTACAAAAGCAACTGAGTTTGTCTTCCTTTTTAGTAAATATGGAGCTAAAAATCATCATAACAAATCATCAGTTTCTCTAATCTGTGTTATATTCACAGCCCAGTCAAGCTGAAGAAGTCATGCATTTGAGAGTGGCGGGTGTTGTGACTGCATGTGCAGTCTTCACAAACATTACAGGTACTAATTAAAACCCAAAACTTGAAAGACAGTCCTCTCCCAAAAAACTTTTCCACCTCACCAGAGCAAAAGGAAAACTATATTATCTCAGTGCCCCAAACTTCATCCATCCGAGAAGGAAATTAATACCATGTACATGGGCTTCTTACTGAGACCATTCATGCACCAGCTCCATAATGTTTTAATCAGCCTGCTGTTGGTAAGATCATCAGCCCCAGAATTTCTTAAGCCACAAGATTGGCACAAATAGCGTGAGGTTATTTTTTATTCATTTTCAAAAATATTAAATCATGGTTTTAGCGGTTGTCCCATTTTTCATCTTTCTTTGCCAGCTCCTAATGTATGTGAAGCAGTTATTACATTAGAAATCATGCTTGAAAATTGTAGCAGCAGATAAGATGTGTGTGACTAATAAAATACCTATGATGGGACAAGTTTCCTCATGGGTGCAAACAACAGACATAGGGAAACAAGCTATAGGTATATAAGTAATCTTTCAGTGGTATAAATTTGTCCAATTAGAGGAGTTACATCATTGTGTGTAGAAAAGCCGTGAATCCAGGATTTTGTCCTCTAGGTAATATATACAGATGTGATGAAATCAAAGCTTAGAACCTCATCTGGTGATCAGGCTGTGATGTGAGCACTGGATTTGGGACCAACAGGCTGTACTTCTTGTGTGTTGACTTCAGAACTGGGTAGTAGGATAGGTCTGTGGAAGGAGATGGAGCACCTATGGGATGAGGGATCAATAGCATCAAGTTGTTGCAGAAAAGAAATAGCCAAATGTAACAGGAACACCCTTTTTTAAGCTGTCTCCACAACCTGAAGCTGCATAGATAAGTTTGAACTTCTATCACTGAGTAAAAAGAAAAACTCTTTTTACATGGAT